GTATTGGTGGTACAGTAAGGGACAAAAGGGGCAATATCTGCTGGACTTTTAGTGGCCCAATCGGTTGGGCCGACTCCAAAAAGGCTGAAGTGATGGCTGCTCTCACCGGAATCAGGATAATTAAGAATTTGGGTATTCAGAATTTGATTATTGCCGGTGATTCAGCAAATACAATAAAATGGTTAAGAGACAAAAAAGGGGGCCCTTGGAGACATTATCACTATCTGACTGAAGCTTGGGATTCTTTGGATGGATTGAATGTTAACTTAGTTTGGATTCCTAGGGAATACAATCATATTGCAGATGGCCTAGCTAAATTTGGTGTGTATTCGAGCATCTGTATAGCGACAAGCTTCCTCCTTCGTAACTTGCAGGGGTTCCCCCCCTTGTTTTGTATATCTCCTCTTGTTCCCCCCTCCCCCTTTTATTCTCAATAAATCTTGATTAAATTTTCTCAAAAAAAAAAAAACTCAATCTAATCAAAATACAGTAACAAAAAAAGACAAAAGTCAAAATAGCAAGTAATTTGCAAATTGTATGAAAGGAAAATAGCTAAATGACTAAAAGGGAGATAAAGATAGCTATTAAAGTCTCTTAATTTTCTCTTATTTGATTTATACAGTTCTTTGCTATGGTTTTTGAACCTTAAAGGTCCTATTATATTTCTTCTAGTGATTCCTTGAAGATAAACTAATTCCATGTTTCTAGAAAGCTTTCTTGATTTTTTAGATTCTCCAAATATCTTAGCGAAGTTAGCCAAATATATTTGCAATTTCTTGATGTCTACATGGTGAAATGTCCATCTATATTGAAATTGCTAACTATGATTTCTACTCTACCTAAGGGATGGTTGTACAATTTTACACACTTCATGATTTTTTTCATTAATAAAATACTTCAGTTACTCATCAAAAAAAAAAAAAAAGAAAAAGATATATATGGTGCCCATGTTATGTGATAGGTGTGTCTTGGTAGTTCATACCTCACATAAACTATGAAGTATGTGTTTTTTATGCTTTATTTATAGACTTCTAAATCTAGATTTACTGTTTATTTTATTTTATTTTTTTCCGTTGAGATTTGTTTGAGTTTTAATCAAGGTTCAAAATTTTGATACGATACGCCCCATATCGGGCGTATTGTATCGTATCGTATCTTTGGGGGTCCAATACACCTATTTAGACCCCACTCTATGCTTAAAATATCTTCCCAAAAACCAAAATTTGAAAAAAATCTAAAAAAAGTATTTCCGCGTGTATCCAAGTACCAATATGTCTCTGCCAATACACAGAGGTGTATTGATACTTTGAACCATGGTTTTAATAGTGTATCCACATGTGTATCTTAACTTTTCTATCATATCTATGCGTATCCAAAGCCTATCCCGATACGTCCTTTAAAATTGTCTTTTTTGATATTCTTTGTGTTTCTGATACTTTGGGCATTGATTGCATAGTTATTGAAAATATACCTATTGACACAAAAATCATGGCAAAGGAACAAATTTTAACTTTATGTGTTTAGAGAGAGTTATGAATAATGACTTACAACCTTCTATTTTATGATAAATACTCTTTAATAAATCTCATTTGAACCAATAATCATAACTCTTCATATTAATGGATCAATTCCTCTAACTAATAAACATCAGGAAAACTCCAAGAAAACAACAATTAAACCAAATTAGAAAAATTCATTACTAATGAAAAACCATTGGAGAAACAGGAATTTGGGAAAATTTGATTTCTTTGTCTGTGGTTTCTTTTCCTTCTCTCATATTCATTTGTCTATGTGTGTGTGTGTAGGGTAGCAACAAAAATTAAATCAAACTGAGACCAAGATCTGGAGAGCCACAACCAGATATTTCTATAAACTAATCAAACTAGTATAACTACTTGGAATAGTGCATTAGATTATGTAGTGTATTACTGTCCAAATAATTCTCATTCAGTTAGTTTTGGATATTATTGATGCTTCTTTCTTTTCTCTTGCTTTCTTTCTTTCCTTCCTTTTTTTTCCTGACTGCTGCATGCATTTTGGTATCATTTGCATTAATTGATTTTGGTGTCATTTGAAATTAATTGGCTATCTTTGGCAGGCAAAGGAGGCGGGTAGTACTCGTTTTTGTATGAGTGCTGCATGGAGAGATACTGTGTTTGTGGTGGGGGGGGGGGGGTAGCAACAAAAATTAAATCAAACTGAGACCAAGATCTGGAGAGCCACAACCAGATATTTCTATAAACTAATCAAACTAGTACAACTACATGGAATAGTGCATTAGATTATGTAATGTATTACTGTCCAAGTAATTCTCATTCAGTTAGTTTTGGATATTATTGATGCTTCTTTCTTTCTCTCTTGCTTTCTTTCTTTCCTTCCTTTTTTTTCCTGACTGCTGCATGCAATTTGTTTTGGTATCATTTGCATTAATTGATTCTGGTGCCATTTGAAATTAATTGGCTATCTTTGGCAGGCAAAGGAGGCGGGTAGTACTCGTTTTTGTATGGGTGCTGCATGGAGAGATACTGTGGGCAGAAAAACCAACTTCAACCAAATACTTGAATACATAAAAGAAATAAGGTATGCAAAACATCAAATAAATTTGATTTTTGCGTTTGTTGATTGAAACTTGATTCACTAATCTTAGTGCATCCTTATGTCCTGTTGAATCAAATATCAGCCATTCCATACCAAGCAAGGAACTTGGTAGTTGCAACTTGGCACTTGCAAGTAATATTTCTTGATTGAGTGACATTTTTTTTGGTTGATTTTGCAAATATTGAAATGTAGAGATTTTGAGACTAGTTCCTTGGACATGATGGGAGAGCCTCTGGGGAAGCCCCCAGAAAACCCTATGTTGCCTTTGTTCTTGCTTCTTCTTTGAACCCTTTTCCAGCAGTCCTTGGTCCACCTATGGTGGATATCCCTCTAAAAGTGCCTTTGATCAAGTGAGGAGAACCTGTTGTGCTGTTCTTGGACAAGGAGATAGAGAAATCTGTTCTGCCTTTGTGATTTGCTTTGGTAGGTAAGTGCACTTATGGGCGCCCTTCCCTAGTGGAAATAAGAGTTTTTGATTGGACCTTTTCATTTGAAAGCTGCAATTGTAGTAGCCATCCTTTCATTTGAAATCTCTGTTCGCGGTAACCTCATTGGACTTAAGCCATGTTCTGGTTAATTTCAAGATGAAGGGAGTACCTTCGTGGATGGTTGAGGGAGGTATGTGTGATCAAGGACTTTTTGTACCATTTTCTTAAATGGACTCCTGGAATGGAGTTGGGTTGGGAGCCCTCAATTGTTTCCAACTGGATCTCTTTGCCGCACTTTCTAATTAATTTGTATAACGATGTTTTGTGCGACAATCACTCAAGTGGCTGGATGTGTGTTAAAGGTGGATAATGCTATAGCGAAGTTGGTCAGAATGACTGCCGCTCATATTTGTGTTTAGGTTGATCTATTGAAGAACCATGATTGGGTTTGGATTGGTTTAGTGAAAGAGGATTTTTGGTAGAAAATAGAATATGAGAATTTACCGAAGCATCGTACCTTTTGCTTCAAGCATGGCCATTGTGAGAAATTGAGTATGAATCCAAGCAAAAGAAGGAAAGAAGGAACTAAAGGAGGACCCATCCAAGCCAAAGGAAAAAAAGATTGGAAAAAAGCTGATGATAAAACAGATTTTTAGTAAGTTGTTGGTGGAAGGAGATTCTCAGTTGACTTTTAAATGGTTGCAGAAGGAAGTGTCCAGCTTGTGGAAGTTCTCTAATGAAAGAAAGAGAATTACTCAGTTAACTCAGAATATGTCTGTAAGGGTTCAATGGGCCAAGAGGTGCACTAACTCCATGGCTGATACCTTGGCCAAACAGGGGGTGGGAAGAACAAATCTTTTTTGGGCTATATTGTAATATGTTTTTTCAGTTTGTTAGAGAGGGTTAAGTCTTTTTACCCCTCTCTCCTGGTTGTAATTTCTATATCTCTTTTTATAAAATTTCTGTTATTGATAAAAAAAATAAAACAGATTTTTATCTACAAGTAATCAGGTAGTTTTGGAGTTAGATGCCAATGATGTGTCTGATGAAATGGTGTGAAGGATTCTGTAGTGGCACATAGCAATGGGGATGGGGCTCCAGACAGTGGAGAGAAGGAACCTGATTTGATTGCAGACGGTATTGAGATTGTTCAGGATCCCAACTATGGTGTTGAAGAATGGTTTTTTTCGGATCACAGAGTGGAAGACCAGGCGCAATTTGATGGGGAACAGGGGACTCAAAGCAGTGGTCTGGTTGAAGGACCTTGTAATTTTTTTTTTTCGTCAAGGAAACCTGGGGTGGTGTTTTCTATGGCAGAACTAAAGCATGATAAATGCTTTCTGGATGAAAGGCTGAGAAGGTGCTGTGGTGATCAAGTTCTTCGATTTGATGATGAACCACTGAACTGGTTATGAAATAAAGACATTGAGGCTTCTTGTGCAGCAACAAAGGGTGAAGAAGAAGCCAATGTTAATGAGGAAGGAGGACAGTGGATGCAGGTCACTATAAAGAAGAAAAGACTAAGGCAAGGTATTTCAATGTTGTAATGGGACCGTATGAGAAAATTGATGGCTGCAGCCCGGATTGGAATTGCCATGTTTGAGTTTGTGGACTGTGTTAATATGACTGCTTTGCTGGAAGTGGATGTTGGTTTACATTGGTAATCATTTTACGTAACAATAGGGATGACTTATATAGGCTAGGCTTGATTGTATTTTGGTAAATTCTTGCTGGGTGAATAATTTTCGAGTTAATGGGGTGGTCATTCTTAGATGAGTTGCTTTGAACTTTGTGGCTTTGGTAGTAGATGGAGACTGTGGATGAGAGGATATTTAAATTTGGTACACTATTCAGTCTTGGTCAATGTGGTGGCTGAAGATTTCTTTGAAGCCAAAAGAGGTTTGAAGCAGGGGGATCCACTATTTATGCTAATAGTGGATGCTTTTAGTCATCTAATAACTAGGTTGATAACAAAGCTCTAATTAGAGGTTGGAGGATTGGGAGGAATGGGGTTGTTGTTAGTCACCTGCAATTTGCTGATGACCTTATGCTTTTAGTGAGGATTTAGGGGAGGATGGGGCTAGGAATATGAAGATTTTAATAAGACCTTTTGAGAAAACCTCTAATTTGAGAGTAAATTTTGACAAGATCTGTTTGGCAAGAGTTAATATGGGAAGGCTTGCTTTTGGGGTAATTCCTAGAGAGCTATGCTTCCTTTCTAGGTCACCAAAATGTTGACTGGCCCAGTGATTTAAAAGGCGTGCCTATGCGCACAGGCGAGGTGCAATTTAGGGTAGGCGCCTCGCCCAAGTTATAGGCACATCCCTTTCAAAAGGCTCACGCCTGGTGCACCTTGTGCTTCACCCCAAGCTTTCGCCCCCAGACCCCCGTGCCACGCCCCTTGAGGCAAGCCCAAACAAGTCCATGTTAGGTCTTAAATTTTTAATTCTTACACAAAATTAATGATTTTATTATTTTATTTTCCTTTTAAGAAGATATTTTATTAAGATGAATGAATGAACAACATTAGCAAATAGGGGGTTCTCGGAGGGAGTGGCACAAAGGCGACTCGTAGAATTAGGAATGTAATATGTTTTACATCACATTAGCTACTTAAAGTAATGCAATTGAAGAAAAAAAGAGATTGTGGGCTTTACATGCTTGAAAATGTTTTATAGGTTTGATTTTATTTTTAAATTTTCATTTGAATATGTTTTATGTATTTTAATTTTAGATAATAGGTTTTTAAAACCACTAATTTTAAAAAGTAAGTTTATATTTCTTATTAATATTATGCTTGATATTTTTGATTTATTTTGCATTTTTGGCATTTTTTTGAATTTTCTGACATTTTTTATTTTTTAGCATTTTTTTTTTTGTATTTTTGTGCCTTGCTTCAAAAAGGCGCGTGCCTCGCCTTGCGCCTCTCGCCTCTGGCGCAAATTGGCCCTTGCACATTTTTTGCGCCTTGCACTTTTAAAACACTGGACTGGCCAATGAAGTACGTAGGCTTGCCTTAGGGGGCAAATCATAAATGTAGAGCCTTTTGGGATCCTATTGTAGAAAAGTTCAGCAAAAGACTAGCTAAGTGAAAGGCAGATTATGTCTCTTTGGGAGGAAGAAGTACCTTGATTAAATCTACCCTTGCAAATCTTTTGATCTACTATCCCTCAATTTTCAAAATACTGGTGTTGATGGCAAAGGACTTGGAGAGGATCATGAGAGACTTTTTATGGGTGCCTGGGGATTCAAAGAAAGATCACTTAGTTAATTGGGCTTTGGTGAGAAAATGTAAGATATAGGGGGTTCTAGGCTGTGACAATTTAATTATAAAGAACAGGGCACTTTTAGATGTAAGATCGTTGATTTATACTAGTACGTTGACCTGATATAAATTTGAGTCAAACTGGACCGGTCCAGGTTCATTATTCACTTAATTTGAGCTATGTACATCAACTTAAGTGCTAGAACTTTCTATAATAATTGTTAAAAGGGTAAAATGGGCAATGGCAAAATATACAAGAAAGTTCTAGAAAGTGGGGAGTCAAAAACCTTATAAATGGGGGCCCACAATAGACCCATTAGGGGGCAGCAAACCTAGATTTTCTCTCTCCTTTTCTCTCTGTCTCTCTTAGGTTCTCTGCAATTACTGTCCTACTCTCCCACTGTCCCTCGAACTTTCAGAGTTTGACCAGCATATTGGAATCCACCTTGTTTACATTTGGTAAATGGTTGGTGGGGGGGTCATGGGGTGGGAGATGGGCTATCCCTCTTTGTGTAGCCTTTTGGAGCAAAAAAAGAAGAGGGATCTTGCATTCATAATAACACTACTCCTATGTTTTAAATATGGTCTTTGCAATTTCATCTTCAGAAAACCATTATTCTCAACCCCCATGGAAATTGACCACTTCCCCCTCCCCCCTTAATAGTAATATAAACTTTCTGAACTTAGATATTAGTATCATGTCTGAATCAACTACAAATTCTTAGAGTCCCCGTTTTTATTGAAACAACATAGTTTGGTAGTCTCGTATAAGGGACCTCGCAACATCGCCACTGTCAAGTACATAGATATATAACTGGGGCCTGATCTTCCATGAAATCTCTTCAAACATATGGGGGCTGATCTTTCATGAAAACTCTTCAGAATTCTGGAGACTAATCTTTCAAAAATTCTTCAGAATCAATTCTTAAAAATAGTCTAATTTTGGTAGCTTCATCCCTTAGATATCACCCCCAAAATGAGGGATAATGATTGATAACAAAGGTCAAAATCGCTGACCCAAGTGCTATGTAATGACAAATTTTCCCTCATTGTTAAGCAAGAGAGTTAATGTGAGAGAGTGTATATACATTTAAGGATTTGAGGGAGAGACAGTTTGAGAGCATGGTGAAGGTTATCTCGTAGAGTCGATAGAATCTCTCATTGAGATCTTTCCCTACACATGAGTATCACAGAGAGTCGGCCTTGCAAAACTAAAAAGGAGCCCTTTTGGGGTGATGGAGGCCCATCCCAAGGCCCATCTCACCCCTAGGGGCGGCAGCTCCTAGGAT